CCAGCTGCCCTCTCAGAAGATGCCCTGGACCTCCCCTCCATGCTGAACCGTGGGGCCTCTCCATTTAGAATCCCCAGGTTCCTAGCAGCCCTCCTCTCCCTGACAGTCAGTGGGTCAAGGGCCTTGGTGAGCAGCCGCCAGCCCTTCTGTGGTGTGGTGGCTTCTCCACTCCCTCTCCCCAGCACATTCCAGAGGCCTGGGACAGCTGCTCCCCGCACACTCTGCAGATGTGACCAGCAGCTGAGAAAACAGCCTCCTGCCCTGGCTAGACAGAAATCTCACCATGGCCACATCCCCTCTCCTCTCAGAGGAGGAAGATTCCAGAAGGTGTGGGAAGTGGAGGAGGTGGGGGCCTGTGGTGAGGAGCAGAAGACAGCAGTTGGGACCAGGGCTGTTTGGCTTCCAGTCCTTTAGGCTCCAGGACGCTATTAATCGTTTCTCCTTCTGCTTCCACTTGGTTCCCATTCCTCTCTGTAACCCATCTCCTCTCTTCCCTCATCTTCCCTTTCCTGTGGGAGCTAAATTCTGAACAGCATGTGCTACCATTTAAACAACACCCTCTGGGGAGGAGCTGGGCAGTGGGAGGGTTCAAAGGGGCCACTGTTCCTTCTCCAGGTATCGAGGTATCAAGGTATGGGAGGCGTCCTCTGGGCAGGGACTGGGCTAGGGAAGGCAGGAATCTGCTCTACCCGAAAGGCCACGCTCCTTCAGGGAGCAGATGCCGCTGCAGCCAAGGAGCACCAGGTTAGTAAGCAGAAAGACCTGCCCCTTCACCTCTGTTTGGCTGCAGTTGAAGGTGGAAGCCCTGGAGCAGGAGAAACAGGGCCTGCAGGGCCAGATCGCCCAGATCCTGGAAGGTCGGCAGCAGCTGGCACACCTCAAGATGTCTCTCAGCCTGGAGGTGGCCACGTACAGGTACAGTTGACACCCCTCCTGGGCACACAGAGGCACACATGCATGCCTGGGGACACTGCTCAGCTAAGGGGCCAGAGCCACCGCTAGGTCCTGCCACCAGTGGGCTCTGTGACTGTAAGTATATCTCTTCCACGCCAGGACTTGCCTGCCTGAGCTTACCTGTTCCCCCAGTGTTCAGGATTGACAAGTAGCCTCCAGTGTTGCTGAGTGGCACACCTCGGTGGAGAGGGTTGGACATGTGTGAGCATCTGCATCCAGACCCTCACCCCAAGGGGTAAAAGTCCCTGTGGGGGTGCTCATACACAGGGGGAATGTCTTTGAGCCGCCCCCAAAGGGGGGCTGCAGGATGAGGCTTGGCACTGACTGGCCGCCTGATGGTGTGTCATTCTCCTTGATTGGGGGATGGAAGCTAGGCTAGGTGTCATCCAAGGCCCTTTCCATCCTGGACACTATGGGCCTGGCTCCTTTCACGCCCTACACCCTTGACACGGCCCAGCCCTTCCACGGACCCCAGTCCCTGCGCTGAGCTGGAGGAGGCATTTGCTTCTCAGACTGCAGGATCTGGGCAAGCCCACAGTGTCTTCTGGAAAACTGCTTGATTGTCTTGAGGGTCCAGTGATGGAGGAGCCTGAGGAAGGGGCTTTGCCACTGTGAAGAGCTGTGAACTCTAAGCTCAGAAGGCAGGGAACAGGCTCTGAGAATGGTGCCCCAGAACCCACAGGCAAACATCGGTGGGGATCATTTGTACTTGTTCTATAGGCCCCAGAGAACTGAAAGTCAGTGAGTCTCTCGGGAGGATAAGGAAGGGGGAGGCCCCACTGAGCACAGGGCTCAGAGGGCATGAACAGAGTGAGGCCAGAAAATACTAATCAGACTCAGTGGTATTCAGCCTAACTCAATTATTTAAGCCCCCCACCCCCATCTCTGCAGATCGCTGTGAGACACTGAGGCTGGGGGATGGATGCAAAGATCTCTATTGCCATACAAGGTTTGGGATTCCAAGATGAGAACCCTGACACCCACCCCCCCCACCCCCCCAGCAAACCGCTGAGGCAAGGGGCCTGGGTAGGCTTTGCTGGTTATTTTGAAGGCACGAAAAGGATTTGGAGAAAGGCAGTGGAATTCGTTTGCTTTTGTCCAAAACCAGCTCTGGCCCCCCCCCCGGGGGGGGGCGGGGAGAAGGAGGAGGCCTATTCCCTGGGAACCGCCTGAGAATTCCCACTTTGCCTGGAAGCCCCCTACTCAGACCCTCCAGATGGCCAATGGACAAAGGCACCGATTAGCATGAGAATAGGCCCCACGCAGAGGATGAGGTCATTGGGACGGGGTGGGGAGGAGGGGACAGTCTGGGGCAGTGTGGGTGTGTGTACATTGTGTCCGCTGTGTGGGAATCTGCTGTGTGTCTGCGAGCCCAGCTGTGTGTCCTGAATATATGTGACTGTGTGATCAAGCATGTGGTAGCTGTGTGTGAGGCTGTGTTCCGGTGTGTGCACAGCAGTGTAACGTGGCCTGTGTTGTGTGTGACAGTGGTGAAAAATGAAAAGGAAGCTGCAGTGCCAGGGATGTACAAGTGTGGCTGGGAGTCACCCTCAGGGCTTGCCTACAGACCTGTGACTAACCCAGTTTTTCCTTCACCATCCCCAGGACACTCCTAGAGGCTGAAAACTCCAGGCTGCAGACACCTGGCAGCAATCCCAGGGCTCCCCTCGGCATCCAGGGTAAGAGGAGGCCAGGTCCCCTAGCTTACCCTTCTTTACTCTTCATGGCCCAGAGCTATTCCTTTCCTTGAGGGGGCGGCACCCCCCAGGCCCAGGGCCCCAACTGGTGAGCATGCTCTGAGCACAGCCAGTGGGAAGCCAGAGTGGCACCCAGTGACATATACAGAGGTATGTCAGAGGGACCCTCACCACCCACAAAGCCCCCATTCCTGTGAGTGCATTCTGACATAATTTCTTCCCCTCTGCCCTTCCAGACCCTAAACTGGAACTGCATTTCCCTGGGACTCCAGAGGCCCGGCGTCTGGGACCTTTGCTCTCTATCCTCAGTCCTGCTGCTCATTCCCCACCCTTGCCTGATACCCTTGAAACACCTATGCCAGTCTTTCTGAAGAGCCAGGGATTCCTCCAGGCCCGCATGCCCACCTTAGCCAGCACTCCCATCCCACCCACACCTCAGGCTCCCTGTCCTGCTACAGATGTAGAGAGCAGAGCCCAAGATGGCCCCCTATACCTGCTGCAGCCAACGGCTAGGAGACAGCAGTCTCCAGAGGCCATGTGGGCAGGAGCTAAGGAGGTCACCCCTGCCAGCGTTCTGCCAGAACCAGGAGAGCCTGGGACCAATCAGCAAGAAGCCAGTACAGGCCAGTCCCCTGAGGATCATACCTCCTTGGCCCCACCACTCAGCCCAAACCACCCCAGTGTAGAGGCAAAACTCAGTGGGTCTAAAGTGTCCAGCAGATTCCAAGAGGAAGGTGAAGGGCAAATGTGGGAGCTGGCAGAGAGCAACACAGCTATAGAGATCAAAGCAGTAAGCAGTTTGCAGCAGGAAACATGGCAAAAAGAGGGGGATCCGCTCACAAAGGAACTCCAGGATTCCCAGGGTCTTTTGGAAAAAGAAACTTCAAAGTCTCTGGAAGAGGAGATTCAAGAGCCTCTGGTGACTCTGGAAAAACAGAGCCAGGAAACACAGAGAGTGGTCGAGGAGAATCAAGAATCTGGGAGGTTTTTGGAAGAAGAGAACGTAGAGACACTAAAAAGTCTAAATCAGGAGAATCAGGAGCTATTGAAGTCCTTAGAAGAAAAGGAAGTAGAAGTAGTGAGACCCATAGAAAAAGAGACTGTAGAACATAAGCCTTCAGGGGAAGAGGGCCCACAGACATTGCAACCTCCAGGAAAGGAGAATCAGCAATTAATGAGGTCTCTTGAGGGTGACCTAGAGATATTTTTACATCCAGAAAAGGAAAACAAAAATTTGGTGAGTTCTCTAGAAGAAGACTTTGAATCATTGGACTCTAGAAAAGGAGCTCTAGAAAAAGATGATCAGAAGTCCCTGAGATCTCAAGTAGAGAAGGAGGAGATGTTGATACCTATAGCAAAAGAGAATCATGAGACTCTGAGGTCTCTAAAAGATGAAAATCAAGAGACCTCAAGACCTCTAGAAAAAGAGAATCAGGAGCCACTGATGTCTCTAGAAGATGAGAAACAGGAAACATGGAGACTTACTGAAGAAGAGACTCAGCAGCCACTGAAGTCTCTAGAAGGTCAGACAACACAGAGATCAGAGTCACTGGAGTCCCTTGAAAAATGCCAGGAAATATTTAGATCTTCTGAAAAAGAAAACCAAGAGTTAAAGTTCCCAAAAGATGAGAATGTAGAGGAGGTGAGATCTTTAGAAAAAGAGAATCTAGAGTCACTGAAGACTGTAGAAGAATACCCAGAAATGTTGAAATCTCTAGAAACTCAAAAGCCAGTGTGGTCTGGAGAAGAAATGAATGGGGGGGAAATGAAACCTCTAGAAAAGGAAACTCAAGAACCACTAGAGTCTGTGGAAGACAACCAAGAGCCATTGAGGCCCATCGAAAAGCAGGATCAAGACTCACTGAGATCTCTGGGAGAATGGAACCTAGAGAACTTGGGATCCCCAGAAGACATTGATAAGGGAAGTCAAGAGTACCTGGAAGAGGATGGGAAGTTGGAGAAGGGAGAGAATCAAGAGTTGCTGAAGTCTGCGGAGAAGGGACAGGACCTGCCCCTCTCAGCAAGTAGACAGTGGCCAGGAGATGTGGTGGTGGAAGACCAAGAGCAGGATCAAGAAACACCCCCTGGGAAGGCTGGATGGGACTGTGAGGATGAAGAACTGGCTCACAGGGAGTTGGCTGGCTTTGCTGTGAAAGAGGCTTCTCTAGAGCCAGGACAGGAGCAGCTGGACACCTCAGGAGGGGTCTGGAACACAGATGAGCATCCACGGAACCAGGGGCCCAAAGACTGGGTCCCAGGCAAGGGTGCCCATGAGGAGGAAGGTACCAAAGGCTCCCAGGACCCTGAAGAGCAGCCAGAGCAGGTGGGGGCTCCCCTGGGCATGTCAGAGGTGATGGGGCTGGTGTTGGAAGATGAGGCCAGGAATGCAGCCCTAGGGGGTGGCATGGACTCCCCTGAGGCTGCCTTGGGGTCAGAGACAGCTGTGGGGGATTCTGCTGCAGGGACAGAGCAGGAACAGGAGCAGGGGGCTGGAGGCCTGGAGGGCACAGACCAACTGGTCAGAGAGGAGGTGATGGAGTCACCCTTGGGGGAGGACGGTTTAGCGTCAAAAAGGGTGCAGAGTTTGGAAGGACCCAGAAAGGACCTAGAGGAGTCAGTTGCTCTGGAGCCAGAGGTCTCTCCACTTTCAAGGGACTGGGAGGAATCGGAACCGGAGGCCCCCTGGAGAGCAGAGGCAGTGTTCCCTGCTGAGACCTTGTGCCAGGAGGGCTGTGGTACCCCTCAACCAAGGTCCCTGGGACCAGAGGAAACTGAGGTGGATGGACAACCAGAGATACAGTCCCCCAGTCCAAAGGGCCTGGAGCCCTGGTCCCCCACCCCAGCCCCTGAAGATGCCTCTGAGCCACAGCCCCTGGTTGAGGGGAGCCAGGAGGCTAGCTGGGGGCTGGAGGGCAGGGCTGAAGTCCTGGAAGAAGTAGACAGTGAGCAGGAGGAGCTAGATTGTGGGGAGATCCCCGAGGGCCTTCAGGACAAGGTGGGGGAGAGCAGAGAGGAGAGCGAGGCTGAGGTGGATGACCTAGGGGAGACTCTTCCGGACTCCACTCCTCTGGGACTCTACCTCAGCTCCCCCACCTCCCCTGGGGGGGCCCTGGCTGGAGAGCAGAGGCCCTCCCCTCAAGGGGAGGCCAGAAAGGAAGGCTGGGAGCCAGCTGTCCTCACCTCAGGGCATCCTGGGGCCCAGCAACCAGGGGGGGAAGAGAAGGAAGAGTTGGAAGAGGAGGAGAAAGAGGGAGAGGAGGAGGAGGAAGGAGAAGAGGAAGAAGAAGCGGAGGAAGAGGAGGAAGAGGGAACTAAGGAGGCAGAACGTGGCCACGACTCTGACCTCTCAGAGGAATTTGAGGAACTGGGCACTGGGGCTTCTCTCCTTCCCGGGGTCTCCAGGGAGGTCACGGAGCCACTGGGTCAGGTGCCCCAGCCCCTGCTGGAGCCTGCAGCTTGGGACAGGGATGGGGAATCTGATGGGTTTGCTGACGAGGAAGAGAGTGGGGAGGAGGGAGAGGAAGAGGAAGAAAAGGAGGAGGCCAGGAGGGAGTCAGGGGCTGGGTGGTGGGGGCCAGAGTCTTCTGTAGGAGGCCCTCCTCAGAGAGGGAAACTTCCATCCTCTGAGACCGGGGAGGTCAGTGTCCCTGCGGATGAGGGCTTACGGGGTGCTGTGGCCAATGTCCCTGTGACTGTCCTGGAATCAGAGTCCCAGGACAGCACTGAACCCTCAGGCTCAGGAGAGGAGTCTGATGCTACCTCCTCAGAGAGAAAGAACCAAGTTCCTGGCCCCCTGGGAACCCTCAGTGGGGAGGAGGACCTGGGCCTGGAGGGAGGGGACACCCTCAGTGTCAGCGGCCAGGGTCCCAGCTTAAAGGAGGAGTTGGAACATGTGAATGGCGGGGTGGTGAATGGCCTAGAGCAGTCTGAGGGAGTAGGACAGGGGGGCCCTGAGGGCGACCGAGGGAGCCCCTTGGAAGGGGAGGAGGGAAGTGCTCTGAAGACCCCATGGGCAGGGGCTTCTCTTCACCTGGACCCGGGCCAGTTCCTGAGGTTCACTGAGCAGGAAGGAGATGGGGATTCCTGGTCCTCGGGGGAGGACTAGAGAAAGAGCTACCCCTCCCTAAGGATGTGTGGGTGTTCCCAAGCCCCCTCCCCGCTCAGGGGCAGCGTCTTTAGCTTATGAGCTCTTGACCTGTGGCTTCTGTGAGAGGCCTGGCTGGCCAAGGTGAAGTGTGGTGTAACCAAGGGACCCACGCCAGGAATGGAGGCTGCAGGAGTGAAAGCCAGGCCCTCGGGCCCCACAGAGGGGGCATCCTGCCTACATATCCCACAGGCTTTATCATACTACATCTTTACAGTACGAGGCCCCTCTCCCTCACATCCCCTTACCTCCCTGTGCCATCAGCTAGAAAAGGCCTAGTTCTGAGGCTCCTTGCGGGGGAGGGGCTCGCCAGCCTGCCCCTCCTCACGGCACCTTTGTGGGGTGTCTGACTGGTGGCTTGAGAGGATGGGTGTGGGGTGCCCTATGTCCTGACCCCTTCCAGGTTATGGCCTTGTTTGGCTCATCCCTACCTGAATAAAGTAATGCCTCTGCCTACGATGTCTGGACTCTTCCTTCCCCAGTCTAGGGGTCCTCAGGGCCAGCACCGGAGGGGAAGAGACTGAGGGAGGAAGCCAGAGATTCAAGTGTTGACAAGAGGCTCCCTCTCCTGAAGAGCAGGGGATCTGAAGGTGCTGGGGTGAGCGGGCATGGAGGCGCACAGACCCAGGCTGCAGACAGTTGTGCTGGGGACCCAGGGAGGGTGGGGTGCTGTTTGGTGGGGGTCTAGTCCAGATGACCTCAGTGCTTGCCGTAGCCAGGACTGTCATCACCCTCAGTGCTGATTATAGAGATTAGGCTTTGGGGCCATCTATTGCTTCTAGTCCTCCCCAGTGGTCTTTAGTGCCGCCAACATAATAAGGCTTCTTGCCCAAATATAAACAGTTGTCTGCCTGTGATGTCAGCCGCGCTGGCTAGGTCAGAGTCGGGTGAGGGAAGAGGCAGGGCTCTACTGCCTTCATCTGGCTGTGTGGCCTCAGGTCAGCATTTAACCTCTCTGAACCTGAGGCCCAGTCACAGTGGGAGACACTTGTGGGTGTCCCGGGGCAGGGAGAGCAGAAGGGAGGCTGGGAAAACTGGGGGGCCGCAGCATCCATCTTCAATAGGGCTTCCCCACACACTGAAGCAGAAGACAGGGAAGCCAGGAAAGCAAGCGAGGACCAGATAGCCCAGAGCAGGGAAGCCTCTGGGGGCGGACTCCTGTGCTGATACTGGGGCTAGACTTCGCCCAGCCAGTGGCAGCGCCTCCCCATACCTCACCCCACAAATTTTCAGGGGTCCCTGTGTCCAGAGGGTCCTGGATGAGGCAGGTCTGAAGGCCTTGAAGTCAGGATACTCTAATAGAAACAACCTCCAGCTCTGCTTGGCAGGGAAGGATCTGGGAACACCTCTAAATATCCAGGGTGGGGGTGGGGGCGTCGGAGGTACATTCTACATTTGAAGACAATCCGAAGTCTGGGACTCTTCCTCTCCTCCGGCCCAAAGCTAGAGGGAATGGAGCCCCAGCCCTCATGTCCTCTGGCCAAGGAGGGGTTCCCTGTCCTCTGGCCAAGGACAGGCTCTCCCTGACATAATCTGCTTCTCTGGCCCCATGTTTCTCCTCCATCAAGGCGTCTCTGTCTTGGATGCTCAGGGCCCCATTTCATAGACCCCCATCCTTGGGTTCCCGTTCTCACCCCCATCCTGGCAGCTCAGCCTGCACTCTGTCCTCTCTGTGTCCACAGCCACCGAAGCCTGCCTCACCCCAGCAGGGGACCAAGCACATTGACACAGGCAGGCAGGGTCGACGCCCTGTCCTCTAGTGCACAGAGGATGCGCTTGATGTCCCCAGGCCCTCGGGCACCTCCGCTTGGGCGAGGGACCAAGGACAGAGGCCAGCCACTCAGTCCTTCCCTGCGCCTGGGTGCCCCGCCTGTCCCTCGCGCCAGAGCGGCCCAGCGGCGTCTGTGTCTGCCTGCAAACAATGCCAAACAGAGAGGAAGACATCAGGGAGAGATTTTCTTCACTGGGGTTCGCGTGTTCTCTTCTGGAATGGCAGTCGGTATACCTGGCAAGAGAAGTGAGTTGGGCGAGAAACAGGGCCCACCGTTTTCTGGGCTGAGGGTAGGAGTAAAGGCCATTTCGCACCAACATTTACTGAGCATTCACCACATGCCAGGCCTTGTGCAGGCCCTTGTTCTTGCTGAATAGGAGCTAAGTAGAAATCTTATTCGCAGAGAAGTGCAGGAGGCAGGGGCAGTGGAAGCAGTGGAGTGGGCATGTGGAGGTGGGGAGACATACAGCCTGAGAACCTGAAGGTGAAGGATGGGGGAGGCTGGAGCAGAAGGGGAGGGAAAGGTCTTGTTAGCAGGAGCAGCAGGGACACAATCCTGGGGCAAGAAAGAGCCTGGACATTTGAGGTATGATGGTAGGAGGGTTGGTGTGACTGGAGGGTGGAGAACAAGAGAGAAGAAGGTCCATGACGAGACCAGAGAGTACAGGATTGGTGCAAGGTCTCACCAGGTAGCCAGGAAATGCAGATTTCTTTTTAAGGAAAATGGGGAGTCTCTGAAGAGTTGTTGTGTTGTTTTTTTTAAGACTTATTTATGCATACAGAACTGGGGTACAGGCCAGAGGTGCAGGGGTGGTGAGAGGATTCACAAGAGACAGAGTGGGGAGCAGAACAGGCTGACTGATGAAGCACACTGCTGAGGGGAGCAGCGGGCGGGTCAGGAGAGGTCTGCCGCGCCATGTGGATCTCCTCCGGGGCAGGGGCAGGGGTCGAACTGGCACTGAGGCGGTTGCAGCCAGCTTGTAGTGCTGTGCCCTACTCGTTAAGCCAGCCACCAGGGAGGGCCTGGAGGGTTTTAAGTAGTGAGGTGACATGACCATACTTGCATTTTAAATATGTGAGGATGAACTGGAGTGGGCAGGAGGCTTCAGGGAGGCAGCTGAGTAGCCTGGGCAGGGTTTGGTGGTAGCAGTGGGAATGAAGAGGGGTGGATATGTGAGGGAAGCAGAATCTCTGAACCTAGTGATCTGCTGTAGGGATGAAGGAGGATAGGGCAGCAGATATGCAGAACTTCCCAGCCTAAGTGGGCTGCCAGGAGTGGGTGGTCTCATCTGAGCTGGAGAATCTATTAGCAAATTGTAACCTCCAGTGGGAACTGTTCTGGAGGAAGCGGGCTCTGGGGCCCTGAGACAAGATTTGGAGTGTCATGGGCCCCGGGGTCATGGGAGAGAGCCCAGGACAGGACCCCAAGAGCAGGAGCCCACAGAGAAGCCAGACTACCAGAAGAGAAAGAAAGGACAGTGGTACCTCAGAAGCCCCTGTCCTCTGGGAAATGCAGACTGCCTCTGGTACAGGCCCAAGGCCCAGAGGGTGCTCCAGTGTTGAATAAATGAATGAATGAAGGACTAGGATGAGGTCAGACAACAGGAAGCTCTTTAGAGGTTATAATCCCCAGAGGGAATGAGAAGGCCGCACCCTCCTCCCCTTCCAGCCCTTCCCCTCCCCATCAGCAGGAGGACAAGTGGGAGGTTATTCTGGGGCCTCCTCTGGGTAAATATAGCCCCTGAGTGGGGCGGGGGCAGGGTGGGGGGCCGGAGGTGGCTTCCTCGGTTTGTTTGGGGCTCTTCCTTATAAGGCTGTGCAGACTGAGGCGCCATGGGGGGTGAGGTCAGGGCTGAGCCCTCCATTCAGTCCAGCCTGATGCTGTTCCTGTCACTAGTGCCTCCGCCAGAGTCTCAGAGGAAATCAAAGGCCCAGGCTCTGGGCTCTGGCCAAGGAAGTGCAATGTGACCTCTTAAAGGGCCCCTCAGCCTCCCAGCAGCAGTGGGAGCCCAGTGTGGGGTGGAAGGAGAATGTCTTCACCACAGGGCATGCCGGCCTTGGCTTTCCTTCTGGCAACGCTGGCTGGCCTGATGCCCCTGGGCGCCACCCTGCTGTGCACCTGCAGACTAACCTTCACCTCCCACTGCCCAGTCTGTGACTCTTGCTCTGGCCTTTTAAGATTAAAACCCTGGTCCCTCCCCTCCCCGCAGCACCCCTCCCCCCCACCTGCCCCTCCTTGGGGAACCAGCTGCTGCTGCTTGACCCTGTGGTGTCACAGCTGCTGTCCCCAGTACCATCTTCCTCGGGCAGGGAAAGAGGAATGTGATTTAATTTCAGCCGGAATGTGCCCTCTGAGGCTGCCAAGAGAAAGGAGAGAGAATGGAGGCCAAACCCCTTCCCCCAACTCTAGGAAACCTGGGAAGACTCTGGGCTTGGGGACAGACCCCTGGGGCCCCCTAGGACCCACTCTGCCCCACAGGAAGGGTCCTGAGGCAGAATGGCTGGAAGCCAGACTTGAGGGTTTCCCTGTGGGGTGGGAAGAGAAGGCTTCTTGTGAGCCAGCCCCATGGATGAGGAAAGGACCTGCTGCTCGTCAGGCCACTGCCCACCTTACAGGCAGAGGGACAGGGACTCTCAGGGGACAGAGCCAGGGAAAGGATCCCTTGGCTCAGAGAAGAGAATGGCGGCAGGTGAGGGCCCTCAGTGCCCTGAAAGTGCGGGGAGTGGGGGGAACGCCCCTCCTCTTGCCCTCTCTGCTTCCTTTCCCACAGACATTTCTGCTTCCAGCTACCCAGCAGTAGGGCTTCCCCTCTCGCCTTTAGTTTTTAGTTTTTTATTTTTTAGAACTGGGATGCAGGCCAGAGGTGTAAGGGTGGTGAGAGGATCCATCAGAGACAGAGGCAGGGACAGACAGGCAGATCGATGAAGTACACTGCTGAGGGGAGCAGCGGACGTCAGGAGAGGGCTGCTGCACCATGTGGTCACCTCCGGGCAGGCAGGGATCGAACTCATGCCATGCGGAAGTGGCTTAAGCTTCTTAGTGCTGTGCTTTAACCCGCTGCGCCACCAGGGAGGGCCGCTTTGGCTAGCTTTGGCTAGCTTCAGTTAACTTCAGCCACCAGGAAGGCTCCCCTCTTCCCTTTCTAACAGATATTTCAGGAGCAATAGATTCTGCCTCCTCACCTGATATAAAATATATATAAATAAAGCAATTGAATAGTAAAAAAAGACTGCCTCCTGCTCCCCACCTCTCCCTACACCCCATTATTCCAGGGTCCCCTGTGTGGACATCTCTCCCTTAACTTAACTCCTGTTATTGATTCTGTAGCACCAGCCCCTCTGCCCCAAAGGGCTGGTGCCTCGGCCCAGACTCCTGAGAGCTGGAGTCTCTCCTCTTCATAGAGTCCTCTCTGGCCCCCCTCTCTGCCACCCCTAGGATTCAGCTGTGGCTCCAGAAATAAAACCCGGCAGGTGCCAGGGGGCCACTGTCGAGGAACCACCTCCCAGCAGCTGTGGGGTCAGCTGCTGCCAAGTCAATTCCCAGGGCTCCAGGGAGGGGAACAGGGACACTTGGTGGGGTGCTGCCCGGATGGCTCTGTGTCCTCTGGGGCTCCCCACTCAGGAGAAACACCCTCTGCTGTCACTCTCACTCACCACTTACTTTCCTTCCCTGTCTCCCTCTGTCTGCCTCTCCTCTGTCTTCCACCTCCTTTTCTTGCTCCTTCCCGGGCCCTTCCCAAGTCCTGAATCCTAGATTCTCCTTCCTTTTCTGTTCACCTCATTTACCAGGAAGTTTTGTATCAGACAGAATTTCAGCTTACCTTGATGGGGAAACTGAGGTACAGAGGGACACCACTTGCCAATGACATTGAGAGTCCTCAGATGATACCAGGGGTCCCTAGAAGGGGGCCAGGGGGCCAGGGGGCACTTCCTGTGTCCAAATGTGACCAGCCTCCCCTCTGTTATCAAAGCTACCCAGAAACGAAGGAGTCATCAGAAAATAAACAGACCACAAGATCCACCCACTCAGGAGTAACTAGAACCCAGAGTCTTCTGGTGAGGGACTCCTTCCTTCTCCCTGTTTTCTTTTCCCTCCCCCAGGTCCCCCCCACCCCAGCCTATCCTTTCCTCAGCTTCTGCCCGCTGAGTCTTCTACCTCTCCCTTCCCTTGCAGCAGGCAGAGTGGTGGTTAGCGCTTAGGAAGAACCTTCCTCTGGGGAATGGAGAAAGCAAGAGCAGGGAAGAAGGTCCTCCCCCAGGCAAGTCTGACCACAGCCGGGGGAAAGCCCTCCACCCACCAGAGTCTGACAGGCTGAGCATTTTTGGAAGTCTTTGGGAGCTGCTGTGTGGTGGCAGGCTGGTGGGACAATGGGGCCCTTTCTCTCCTAGCACAGGAGACAGGCCCACAGAGGGGCCTCAGGGCTGGGACAAAGGCCCAGGGAGGCCAGGGCAGGCAGAGTTGGGGTGGGGAGTTGGGGGAGAAATGGGAGGTGAGGTGTGAGTCAGAACAGCTTTGTGGGAAGCTAGGGGATACCAGCAGGCCCTTCTCCCTGGGCTCTCAGGACCCACAGGGATGCCCAAGCCCCTGACTCGCTCAGGCTTCCTCCTTCTACATACACCCATACTTTCTCCTTCATCCCCAAGGAGCTAGAAACCTTGAGGGGGTACCCTGTTTTAGTCCAGTGAGAAGAAGGCTGAGAGTTGAGGGCTCGGCAGGAGTGAGTCATGTTTGGATCCCTGTGTACCCTAAAGGCAGAGGCAGACACAGGGCACCCTACTGCCATCCCCCAAAGAGATGGGGTTGACATTCTAGGAGGGTTCAATTCCCTTCCCAGGCCAAGACAGGCCTGGTGCACACATGTACAAGGGGCCGGGCTGTGCTTGATGCAGCACGCTGAGTCACTCCTGACCAGCACCCCTTCCCGGGGAAGTCCAACAAAGCCAGGAGCAGGCTTTCATTTCCGGCAGCCCTGCTGAGGCAGCCTGGTAGGGAACCAGGAGGAGGGTCATTCCAGCTCCAGCCCTGTATCAACCCCTGGAAGTCTCCAGCTTGCAGCACAGAGAAGACGCCTCCCTGCCTACAGAGTGACCAACGGGGAGGTGAGAAGGCACTGGAACAGGGCTGAGACACCAAAGCCCCACATCAGCCACCGGGTCCCTCTGGGAAATCCAACCTGCTCTCTAAACTCCGTCTCTGGAAGGATATGTTCCTCAGAGAACATCCCTTAGGACTCCAGGACAGCTAACCCCCCTCCTCAGCCTTCTCTTCAACTTTACCTTCAAAGGCCCACGTTGGCCTTGACACAACTGCAGCCATCGTCCTGCCACTACTAAAAACACAGTGAAGGGCAGTCTCAGGGTATTCAGGGTAGACTGGGATCTTCAAGGAAGAGCATCTTCTTTCTTGGAGCAACTTAAGAAAATCTCTCTAGCCATGCTAGGTTGGGCTGTGTGAGGAGAAAAGTGGAGCAGGGAGCCCTGGGGTGAGGAGAGGAATGTGGTGGGGCTGGGAGGCAGCACTGGTGGCTCACAGGTCAGCTGGGCTGGGGTGAGCAGAAGGTGGGCAGGGATGGTGTTGGAGAGCCCCCACCTCCTCAAAAAAAGCACCTGTTTTTCTGTCTACCTCACTGTTTCTAGGTCTCTCCATATCACTTTCTGCCTTTTGTTCCTATGGATCTGGCCCCCAGTCTCCTCAGTTTAACAGACTTCTCGGGGGAACAGTATGAATGCCCCTGTGGCGACAGTGGGCACAAGCAGGAGTGTGCACACAACAATGTGCACGCGGTGTCTGTGCTCCACCCAGTGTGGTCTGGCGCGAGGATCCGCAGCAGTGAGATTCACTCCATCGTGAAGACCGACTGCATCCTAACACACACCCGAAGGCACAACAAGCAAACTGTGCGCGCTGCAGCGAGGTACACACACACTCACACACACACACACACACACACACACACACAGTGGGTCATTCTCTCCCCAGCTCTCAGAGTGACCTCACCATCTCCAGCTCCGCTGACTCACAGCCTCTGCCAGCTCAGCCCGGATGGAAGCCTTCCCCTCCCCTCCACAGCCAGTCCTCCTGCCCCACCCTGAACAGCTCCGAAAGAGAGGCCACGGCGCCCCCTGGTGTCCCCTGGAACTCCTCGCCAGTCCTCTTCCCTCCGCGTCCACAGCGCCCACTGCTGGCCACAGCCTAGGAGCCTACAGGTCATTCCCAGGGCCCAGCCCAGAGCTGCCGGGGACCTCTCCTCTGCCCTTGCGAGAGGGGGTGGGGGTGTGGGGGTGTGTGTACCCTTGTTCCTGCAAATCTGCCTCCTCTGCCCGAAGTAAGCCTTCCTGATCCCTGACTTCTAGATATGCATCCCTTCACTCTCGCCCTCTTTCTCACACCCCCTGGGAACACCTTTGGGAACCCCAAACACCCTCCTGCCTTTTTCTTGGGGCCCTCGGCCTTTCTCCTCCTCCAGCCTGAACACAGAGGTCACCTTGGCTCTGGGCACTCTGTTCCATCCAAATGTCCACATGCTGCTCCCCACTCCTGTGTGTCTTTCGTGTCATGACGACCGGGCTGCTATTCCACGTCAGGCAGGCTGATCGCTGACTCCTGAGGACTTCTCTGACCGTCATGAGCTAATAAAGGCAGGTCTACCTGCCCTCGTGATGCTGGGTGCCACTCATCTCTCTCACAAAGAAGCAGCAGATTTGTTTGGGCTCAAACACAGCTTTATTTCCTGCTGGTTTTACACGAGCTCATCCTACAAACCCATCCCCTTGGGAAACTTACTAAGCAGGCACAGAACTCCCCAGGGGAAGGGCAGAGGCAGGATGGCTGGCCAGAAGAGGGCAGCTGAGGCACTTAGGGACTTACTCAAGGCCTTGAGGGGAAAATCTGATGCCCTGGGTAAGGGTCAGAGGCCAAGGCTGGGCCAGAGCACTCAGGGGCTTCCCAGAAGCCCCTTCAGACACTGTCACCTGAACGCTGGCTCCACCCCTCTCATGGTGTCACTTCCTATGGCGGGAAGAGCACAGTTTCCAGCGGCAGATTAGGGAGAGAAGGCAAGGCTGAGGCTCCCAGCAGTGCTCAAGACCTTGCCCCTAGGCACCTGGAGTGGAGCTGGAAGGAGAGGTCCACGGGGCCTTCCAATGCTTCCCCCGAGGGCCTTCTAGGGCCTTCATCGGGTACCATTCTTGAGCCTGGGGAAGAAAAACACACTCACCCTCCACTCTGGGGTTCTCCTCTTCCCTTTCTTCTCAGTCTGCCCTCTGGTATTCTTGGTTCTTAACTTCCACCTCATCTATTTACTTGGCCTGGCTCAGCCCTTGAAATCCCAGGGTGTAACTGCATGTGCTCAGACAGCAGCTAATACTAAGGGCATCCCACAGCATCCAGCCCACCTCTTTCTTTTTGCCCAAGAGAGGGGCAGCGATGACTCCAAGGTCACACGGCCACAAGTGGCTGGCAGAGTTAGGAGTGGAACCCACAGTTACTACTGGCTATAGCCCCCACCTGCCTCCTCCTGGAACTCACAGGCCTTCGAGGCACACAGGAGATCTGAGGGGGCTCCCAGTGACCATTCTCCTGGCAGCGGATCAGCGGCAGGTTTCGCTGGGCCAGCCCCTCCCGGCACCGGTAACGAAGCACCGTGTCCACCTCATAGCGCAGCCGAGGACGGCCAAACACTTGAGCCAAGGGCAGCTCTGGTGGGGGCCCACAGGACACTGGGGGCAGGGGGAGAAATGATACAGTCAAGAATCTGGAGCTTGGTTCTGGGGTGACTGTTCCCAAAATTTAGATGAGGTGATCAATGGACCATAATCTTATTTACAAAACAAAGCAACAGCAGCAACAACAAAAGACCTCAGGGGTTCACCCAGTTTGTTACCCTCCCATCCCCATGGCCTGGTGGCTTTTCCATTTTCTCTGTGTGGCTCTGTACCATCCCTACACACACATCTCCACCTGATCCCCTACTCCGGCCCTGGTTGCCCTCACCCAGCCCCATCTTGCAGGTGTAGGACAGGTGGTAGTTGCAGGGCACGTCACTCCATTGTCCCTGATCATGCCACACCATCACCACACAGTTCTCTCCGGACAGGAAGTAGCTATCAGGCTGCCCAGGGTTCCAGTTCTCATAGAGCTGGGGGCAGAGAGGGGGGTTGTGAGGACCCCCAGCCTCAGGAGCACTGGGTAGAATGGGCTCAGAGGACCTGAGGGGATTTAGGGGCACAGGTGGGGGGCAGCAGGAGACAGAAGGTTAGGAATATGGGGAGGGAGGGACCCTGGAGAAGAGGACAGAGGAGGCCAGAGCCTTTGGGAAGGAAGGAGGGGGTGAAAGGAAGGGAGGCGGGTCCAGGAGGAAGAGGGGAAAGCATGGGAAAGGGAAGGGGCCAGAACAAGGGGAGAGGGGCATGAGGTCCTTGGGGGTGGAGGACAGAATGCTTGGTGGGAGCAGCAACACGTGGAGGGGGCAGCTGGAGCGCCTCACCAGGGGGACACCATCTGACCACAGGAAATCGCCTTCAATGGTCCTGTCGTTGAGTCCGATCCACTGGTACTCTCGGTAGCGATCTGGGAAGAACCCACAGGGACACGCAGGTGTGCAGTGGGCTCCGCGGCCAGCAGATGGCAGCATCCCCGGTATTGGGCGGTGTGTGGGTGAGCGCGCGCCAAGTCCCTCCTGCAACCCCAAACCTGCGCTTCCCAGCTTTCACCCTCCCTTCAGCCTCTGCACGAGGACAGATGGAAGGCAGGGGCGTGGAGGGAGGGGCTGTGGGGAGAAGGAAAATAGCACCAAGGCCAGAAAAGGAAAACTGGGGGGGGGGTGTAAAATCTTTCAACAAGGTCAGAGTAGGGAAAGCAGAGGGAGGTGAGAGGTGGGACAGGTGGAAGGCGGGCGTGAGCCACCGCCAGGAGAGTCGGGTGCATTTCAGCGGGAGCCTCAGCTCTCCCCTGCCTGAAGCCCCTCTAGTCACCTCTAAAGGTGTGGGGGGGAGAGAGAAGATGGGAAAGTGAGGCGGGGTGAGGTAACACGGAGTCCCTGGGCGAATTAACACAAGCACTCGTTAATGGTGCGAGCGTGTGAGCGCAATGACAAAGTCCCCTGCAGCCCGGCCCCAGCCCACTGTTGATGAAGTCCTGCTCCTCGGGCGTGCTGATGCTGGTCAGGTGCGCGCCATACATCCGGCACTGGGTCTCCGCCTCCTCCCAGCTCCTTCGGGTAGAAAAGTGCTTGTAGCAGGCGCCCTGGAAGGCGTCCCAACCCGGGCTGCAGAAGCGAAGGCCTGGGACACAGAAGGGCGCGTGACTTAGGTCGGAGGAGTCGGGAGCCCGAGCGGCCGGGGACCGGGGAAGGGACGGCCCCGCCCACCACCGCTGACCGAGGGGCGGGGTTAGAGAGGGGACTGGTCGCCGGGGAAGGGCAACCGGGAGCGCGGAGGGTGTCGATGCCACCCATTTCTGAACAGTAGGGGCCAGGGTGAGGGCTGGCGTCCCCGCCCCGAGTCCCTGCCACCCTCCATCCGCAATAGCTGTACCCTCCGCTCCTCCCAGGAGTATGGACGCCAGCCGGTACCCACCACCTATCAAGTGCAGAATCATACTAAGCTCTCCCCTCTCGCGCCACTGGGAGACGCATTCAGGATTCCGCGGTCCAGTTAACCAGCTAAGGGACTAAATGAGGTTCTCTGGGAGGTTACGTGATTTGCCTGAAATGGGGATTCTCTAATGACAAAGCTGAAACCAGTGCCTCTCCTCAGCACTCGGGAACCAGCATGTCATGTCAGGGTGGGGGCTTCAGATCTACCCCTACCTCCGGAAGGTCCCTCAATACACTCACCAACATTGCACAGGTCCCCCCCATAGCCAGGCAAACATAGGCAGCGGACCCCCTCCTCCTCCTCCAAGCATGTCCCACCATTGTGGCAGGGGCTGGGGACACAGTTACCTAAGGGGGAGAGAAGTGAGGTGGGGGGAGAAGGGGAGCACAGTTCTGCAGTCTGAGCCTCTGATCCCCTTGTCCTGGGAGCTGTCATAGCACCTTAATGGTTCTCCCTGACCCTGCCTCCCTGACAGCCCAAACTTGACTGCTGGGTTTCTGCCCACCCCCATCTCCACTCCCTCTCATTGCCCTCCACTCTGGCATAAGCTCAGCCTGGGTTGGTCATTGTCATGGTCACCACTGTGAGCCCAGCTAAACAGGGACTGAGGAAGGAAGGTCCTCAGGACTCAACCCCACTAAGGGGAAGGGACTGGGCTGTCAGTCAAGAGACCTGTACTCTTATGTGGTTCCTGCCTCTGTTGGCACATTGTGAAGGCCACTTTACACTTGGAAGTTTAGCTCCCCACCCCCTAGGTTTTGTGCCAAGTCCCAGTATAGTTTTCTGCCCTCTAGATGGGCTGTAGGGAACTAGAGAGGAGAGTCACCATAGACTCAGGGGGATGTGGTCTGTCCATCATTGCTTCTACAACCTAAAGTGCTCTAGGTGGGAGGTTACCATTCCTCCTGATGTCCATAGGACCCCATATGCCCCAGAGATGGTGCTGCAGAGACTCCCACTATCCTGAAGCATTGCTCAGCCCCCAACATATCCACTCTCATTATCTCTCCTTCCTCCCTATGGCCTAGGTTCCTCCCCTACTTCAGGCCTTCTCTAGTCTCCTCATCTAGAAAACCCTCTGACCCAGCTGGCTCCCTGTCAACCTCCAGGCTATCTACTTAGACTAACACAACCCTCAAAGCTTGCAATCGGTTGTGTGGCTCTAGCTCCATCTGGCTAGGTCATTTGTTTTCTCTGAATGCTCTTTCTCTGGAGCCTGGTTTGGGAAGTGGCTGCTCTTAAATTTGGCTTGACTATGGGAGGGTGATATCAACTTTCCACTCCTTTCTGGTCTGATGACCCAGGAGAAGACAGTGCCATGAACCTGACGCCACAGTTCAGCTCGAGGCTCTCAACTCTGGCAGGGCCCTTCTGACTGTGCCATCTGCCCTCAGGCCCACAATCCTTCACTCTCAACTGAAATCTCTCTGCTTGGTGGGGATCAGAGGAAAGGAGAGGGGAAGAGAAGCTGGACTTGATTTAAGAATTTTGCTGGGGTGACCTAGCTGTTTTGGGTAAAAATGAATCAGCTGTTTTAGCATAAGTCCCCCGGTCCTGTCCACTCCTGCCAATAGCTTCTT